GGGGCTGGTGGGGTGCGGACGGTGCCCCAGCCCAAGGATCCCTCTGTGTCCCCCAGGACCACAGTGCTGCAGAGCATGAAGCTGGGAGTGGATGTCAATCGGCACAAGGAGATCATCGTCAAAGCCATTTCTGCTGTGCTGCTCCTCCTGCTCAAGCACTTCAAGCTGAATCACATCTACCAGGTGAGGCGAGCCAGGGTCTGGCTGCCCTGCACGGGGCTTTGGGGATGGGCAGGACCCAGGATGGGTCCCCGTTCACCCGCTTTTCTCCCCAGTTTGAGTACATGGCCCAGCATCTGGTCTTCGCCAACTGCATCCCGCTCATCCTGAAGTTCTTCAACCAGAACATCATGTCCTACATCACTGCCAAGAACAGGTAGTGGAGGGGGATGCCCACCCGCATCTCTACCGACTGTGGGGAGGGGGTCCCTGCTTGCTTTGCCCCTCCGCAGTCCCTCCCTGGCTGTGGCCTGGGTGCAGGTAGCCCCGGGGAGGTGCCCACCGCAGCTGATGGGTGGGTGGGAGGTGTGGGGCTGCGTTGCCCGCAGGCCAGGTAGGATCTGGGGGAGCAGCACAACACCCCCCTCTCCTTCCTGCAGCATTTCCGTCCTGGACTACCCCTACTGCGTGGTGCACGAGCTGCCCGAGCTGACGGCAGAGAGCCTGGTGAGTCGCTCCCTTCTCTGCCAGGTCCTGGCACCCCGGGGTGCTCCCCAAAGGGTTTCATGGGTGCAGGGAGGCAGCAGGGCTCCAGCCGCCAGCCCTAGCACCCTCAGCACTCCTGCGCTTTGCCCCGGCACTGCTGGGGCTTTGGGTGGGTGGCTGACATCTCCTGCCTGCGTGCCATGCTCTACTCCTTTGGGCAAGGGTCCTCAGGCCAAAACAGCCTCTCCTCGTCCCCGCTCCCATCCCTTGCCTGACCCCTGCCTCTGCTTTCCCGCAGGAAGCCGGAGACAACAACCAGTTTTGCTGGAGGAACCTCTTCTCCTGCATAAACCTCCTGCGCATCCTGAACAAGCTGACCAAGTGGAAGCATTCCCGCACCATGGTGAGGGGTGGGGAATGCGCTGGGGCTCAGCCCAGCCTGACCGGGCTGTCGCGGGGCGCCTGGACTGGGTTGAGGGGGCTGTGGATACCTTGGGGTGCCCTTTGTGCTGCACCCCAGACCTCGTTGGGGAGCAGCAGGCGAGGGAGGGGGGGCGGAAGGGGCGAGGGAGAGCGCACGCCGTGGGGAAGGGTTTGTGTGTGCTGGAGCGGGGAGGGGGTTGGCACGTGTGTGACGGGAGGTACCCACGTACCCATTGCAGCCACATCACCCCTCTGTCCCCGGCTGCCGGGGGGCTGTTCCCCGCAGATGCTGGTGGTGTTTAAGTCAGCACCCATCCTGAAGCGGGCGCTGAAGGTGAAGCAGGCCATGATGCAGCTCTATGTGCTGAAGCTGCTCAAGGTACAGACCAAGTACCTGGGCCGGCAGTGGAGGAAGAGCAACATGAAGACCATGTCGGCCATCTACCAGAAAGTGCGGCACCGTCTGAACGACGACTGGGCTTACGGCAACGGTACGTCCTTTGCAGCGGCTGCAGAGCTTCCCGTTACCCGCTGTGCTGCCTGCTCTGTGCAGTGACGTGGCTGTGCCCAGAGCTGTCCCTTTGCTGCTGGGGACTCCTGCAGCCCTTAGGGCTGGGCCGCAGGGATGGATTTGGGGTGGTGGCATCGTGGGGAAGAGGGAAAGGGCTGGCAATGGCTGGTGTTAGTTGCTGCCTGCTCCGTGCCCTGCCTGTTGCTCTTTGTAAGGACCTGCAAAGACCTTTCCTGAGGGATTTGGGCTGGCTGAAGGGCCCCCAGCTCCCCCCTGACACCCCTCTTCCCTCTGCCCAGACCTGGATGCTCGGCCCTGGGACTTCCAGGCGGAGGAGTGCGCCCTACGCGCCAGCATCGAGCGCTTCAACTCGCGTCGCTACGACCGGGCGCACAGCAACCCCGATTTTCTGCCCGTGGACAACTGCCTGCAGAGCGTGCTGGGCCAGCGCGTGGACCTGCCCGAGGATTTCCAGGTCAACTACGACCTGTGGCTGGAGCGGGAGGTCTTCTCCCGACCCATCTCCTGGGAGGAGCTGCTGCAGTGACGGACGACGGGGAGGCAGGAGCGGGTGCTTTGGGGAGATCTCGAGCCTGGCCGGCTGCCGAGGGGCAGGGGGAGCGAGGTTTTGGGGGGTCTGTGGGTGCTGGACCCCCTTGTGACAGGCTTGGGAAGAGGCTGGAGCTGTGGGGTCCCCACCGAGACCCCATCCTGTCCCTCTGCCTCCTTCCAGGCTGTGCCAGGCTCAACCCCGAGCCAAGGCTGAAGGCTCGGTGGAGGCCACGGTGCCCTGACAGTTTCCTGTTGGGTGGGGGGGGGACCTGTGCACGCCCTTGGTCGATGCTTTCGGAGGCAGCACCACCATCATCCTCCTCCTGCCCCCCACT